TGCTGAGATGGGGGCCTAGCAAACAGGAGCCAGCCCCTGCCCTCTTGGAGCTTACAGACTAACCAAGTAGATGGAAAGGAAATCAGAACTATACAAATATATTACAGCTGTGATGAGTCTTAAAAAGGAAAGGTACATATTTCTTCATCTAATAATCACAAGTTTTCAAGCTCAGATGCTATTGTTATGCCCATTTTACAGATGCATTTCTAGAAGTTTTAAAGTTGCCCAAGTCAGCCAGCCAGGCAGTTGCTCTCTAGTTCTGCTCATAGTCAGAGAGGAAGGTGGTGTTTATCAAAGTGAGATGTGAACTAGGATACTACAGTTCCGTCTTGGGGACATGAAAACTGCTAATTTAAACACACCTCCAGAGCTATGATTAATGAGGCAAAACATTTTTTGTAGATTGAGGTGCTAATTACAAATCACGTGTCCTTCAACTTTAAAATTGGAGAAGCCCCAGATGGTGGGCCATATAATGAACCGCCAGAGACAATGAGACTGACAGGTGTGACCGTAGTACTTTTGTTCCTCGTGGTTGGGGTTCCACCCATCTGAATTACAATCGGTTGTTCTTTAAGACCTGGTCCACTCCAGGTCAGAGGGTGGTGGCTTTTTTCTGGAAGCAGGTAGCGTGAGGACTCATTGATCTCAACTCCACAAATATTTACTGAGCACCAATGGGGTGCCAGTCACTGCTCCTGCCAGGAGAGCATAGTGAACAGGAGAAAAGACCCCTTTCCCACACGCAGTCATTCAGCTACAAACATACACGGAGGAAAGTAAGTCAGGATGGGAGCCTTACAAAAGGCTCAAGTGCTGCAGCATGACTGGTTGGTGGGGGAACAACTTGACTGTTTTAGAAAGAGCGATCTGGGCAGGCACCACAGAAGAGGCGACATCTATGTGAGAACCTTGATTAAAGGAAGCCGGTTTTGCAAAAGGGAGAGTTTTCCAAAGGGGCTGGAGTGAGCTTGCTGGTGTGTTGAGGGAGGAGGAAGGATGTAAGTGAGGCTGAGCAGGGGAAGCGAGGAGCGCCATGTAGCCAGTGGTTGTGGAGAGGCAGAGGGCCTTGCCTTCTGCATAAGTGCTCTGGATTTTGCCAGTAATGAAATTAATCACAGAGCCAGCCTGTTGAGAAGCAAGTACACAATTATTACTCATCTATAGGCCATTTGATTCATGCCCTGCATGTAAGAAGCCCCTGAAAAAAAATTCTGAGTTAATAAATGAGAACAGACATTTCTCCTCTGGAGTGGGCAGGTGGCGTTTCCAATCCCACCCACACAACCACCAGGGGAAGAGCTTAGGTTTAGGTGATGCTGATAGTGGACCCTGAGCTTGAGCACAGGCCCTCCTGTTCTTCCAGAGCAATTTTGTTTTGGGGGGAAGGGAGGGGAGGTTAAGGGCATCCTGAGATTCCAAAGATGCAGAAGCACCATAGAGAAGAGGGCAAGATCCCCTCCCTGTGGAACTGAAGCTGCCCGTCTTCACCGTTACCTCCGCAGTGAAACATGAATCTCTTCACACGCAGGACATTCTCACAAATGCTTGACTTCAGAGCTTATAAAAGACAGTTTCAGGAAAACAGCATGTCTGGGAATGTATAGTATTTGCTAGATTGCTAATGCTGACCCTAATCCACCCGAAGGCGAGAGAAGACATCTGGGCAAAGATCATTGCGCCTACCTGTGATTTTTGAAGATTTTTCCCTCCTTACTAAAGTTGATCTGCTCACACTACTCACTGTCAGCTCAGGTTTCTACTTCTGCTATCTACCTTCAGATGGGGAAGGTGCTGGGAGCAGTGAGAACGCATACATCAGAGCCAAGCAGCAGGGACAGCGGGAGGTGGAGGGCCCAACTCCTCTTGCCTTGACAGTTACCCCAGTAATGAAAAAAGAAATAGATACATGACTGGACAGTGCGTTTTTCAGAATACTTTCTTAATAGGCATATCCTACATTTAAATTTGGCTCTTTAATGAGAACACTGTTTTATGTATAACTTATATAAGGTAAAGCAAACAAGTGTTAAAATTACACCTCAAAGAAATGTTACAGATGCCTACCCTTTTATAACCATCAACCAGATCTAGATACAGAACATGTTCAGTGCCCTTGGGGTTTTCCATATCCCCCCTCCCACTACTATGACCTCTGTCACCATAGATAGCCTTAGCCTGTTCTTGAACTTCATATAAATAGAATCACACAATATGTTCTTTTTTTTTGGTCTCTCAGCATTTCCTGTGGGGTTCATCTGTGTTGCTGGGTGTAGTCATTCATTCTATTGATGTATAGTATCCCATTATGTCATGGTTTCTCAACTGTGGCATTTATTGACATTTTGAGCTGGATAATTCTTTCTTGCGGGGATTGCCCTATGCAGTGTAGAGTGTTTAGCAGCATCTCTCTGGCCTCTACCCACTAGGGGCAAGTAGTACCTCCCCAACCCCACTGTTTCCCCTGGAATTGAAAACCATTGTGTCGTATAAATATACTACAATTTTTAACAAACTTTTTGTTTGTAAACAATTTCAAACTTAGTGAAAAGTTGCAAAAGTTGAACAAATAATACAGTGTATTCTTTACCTAGATTCATCTATCGTTAACATTTTGCCCCATTTTTTAAATCATTTTCTCTCTCTTGCCCACGTGCTATTTCCGAACCACCTGAGAGTAAGTTGCATTCACCTTAGCCATTTGCCACCATGTACTTCCACATGTATTTCCCAAGAAGGAGGATCATTTCCAACACTATCATAATTATCAAGTAACCACAATAATTGTGGTATAGTACATTTATCAATTGCCCATGTCCCAATTTTTGTCACTTGATCAACAGTCATCCTTTATAGCATTCATTTTTGCTACAGAACAGGTTCCAGACCAGGATCAGGTATTGTCTGCCATGGTTTCTTAGTATCCTTCAGTCTAGAAAGCCTTTCTTGGTCTTTCTGATACTGAACTTTTTAAAGAATACAATCGATTTCCTTCTTAACAGAGCATTCTTCATTTGGAGGCTTTCTAATCTTCCCTCCTGAATACATTCCAGATATATATTATTGACTGGGAGGCAGCATAGGTCACAGTGTGTCTCTCCTTAGAACATCCTATTCAGAGGCACGTGAAGTCCAGTTGCACCTCGTCAATGATGTTAAGTTTGATCTCCACTGTATAGTTACTAAATTTTCCCTTGCAGCTAATAAGCAATATGTGGGGAAACACTTAATACCATGGAAATATTCTGCTCCCCCTTCAAATTTTACCCCCGAAATTTAGCACACTTTGACTCTTGCATGACCCAGTCTTTACCTGTGATGGTTACAAATCCAGCACTCCTGTCTGCACTCACTCTGAGCATTCTACTATATACAAGAGCCCACTCTTTCCCCCTGTTGTTTATTGATGTTTTTATCTGTTATCAGTATGGACTCATGAATTCCTGTTTTTTCAGTGGTTTGTAAATCATCACTGTTTTAAGTATTGTAATGCTCAATTTGCTCAGCTTTGTCCAGTGGGAGCCCCTTGACGTTGGGCCCTATGTTCTTCTGGCAGACTCCCATCACTTTTTATTTCTAACACTTCCTTACTTTTTGGCAAAACGTGATGTTCCAGACTCATCTCTTACTTTCCCTTCTCCTGTACTAAAATCGGCCATTTCTCCGAAGAGTCCTGGCCCTTTAATGGGGAAGGGTAGAAACCACAGTTGGTTTATCCTTTCCTGTTAATGAACACTGAGTTGTTTCTTGTTCTGGGCTGTTCTAAAGAAAGCTCTCTGAATACCCTTGTACATTTTTTGGACCTATGAACTCATTTCTATTGGGTGGATACTGAGCAGTGGTAGAAAGTCATAGAATCTCATATACCCAACAGAAATAAGTCCGTAAAAAAAGGACACATATTCAAAGCAGCATTTTTCATAATCTGTGTGTGTGTGATATTGATAAGTAGTTTTTCAAAGTGCTCATAATGTTTATCAGGGGAATGGAAGTAACTTGTTGTCCCCAGTAGGTGGGGAGGAGTAGTCCTGGCAGGGGACATGCTCTCTGCAAGCAGAAATGGCAAACTTCCTGACCCTTTCAACAGACATAACGAGTGAGAAATGATGAGATTTTGCCACCTGGGCCATCCTTAAGCTTCTTGTTAAGAGTGATGCTTTAAAATGGGCCAAATGGACGTGACTGAAGTCAGGAATCTCCCTGGACCTTCAAAATGGCTTTTATGTCAGTGATACCAGTGAGCACTTAGGGAACGCAGGCCCATTGCTAGGGGCACCTGCTGTTAGAGAGCATTAGGGTCAATTAGGGTCACTGCTTTTTTTAAAAAGTGCCCCCCCAGGGGAAGGAAGAATGTCCCCAGAGTCCCACTCACATCTTCTGGCTGCTGGGGGGCCCATTTAGAACCCTGGAGCAGTCATTTACTAAACAGTCTGGGGAAGTAAATGTCCCTGTGTCTACGCTCAGGGAGTTGCTTAGTTTTCACGACATTTGCGATGGGGGCTGAGAGACAGCAGGCAGATCAGGGAACTGCTGGAAGCTGACAGGGGACTGAACTGGTCCAGTATCATGGGACTAGATTCCAGGCTCAGCCCTGCCAGGAAGTGCTTGGGCATGGCCCGGTCTCTAAGGTTTTCTCATCCCAGGCGGCCTGTAGTGCACCACTGGAATCACAGGTACTTGAAGCACTTTGTAGAACGAAATTCTAAAGAGAGGAAACATGGTAAACAAGATGCACAAGGGGCTCTTGGTAACTTTGATGAGCCTTTGGAGCAATTAATGACGAATACAACGCATGTTTATGGATGCAGTTCAGCCAAGCGCCCCCCAGGTGGACACTGCCCACGGTGCAGTGGGGAGAGCCCTCCTGCACACTTTCCCATCTGCACAACCGCACGCAGCCACCCTGAACGGATGACCGTTCAGATGCCCCCCGGGGACTGTGACCCCCACTGCTGCTCGCTGTACTAACCTCCAGGGCCCTCTCCTGTCTCCCCCAGGCCTCTCCGCCGACTGCGGCGCCAAGCGCCAGGAGCACCTGTCCCGGTTCTCCATGCCTGACCTCAGCAAGGACTCGGGCATGAACGTCTCGGAGAAGCTGAGCAACATGGGCACGCTGAACTCGTCCATGCAGTTCCGCAGCGCGGAGTCGGTCCGCAGCCTGCTGTCGGCCCAGCAGTACCAGGAGCTGGAGGGAAACCTGCACCAGCTGGGCGCCCCCATCGGCTACAGGGACCTGCAGGCCCGCGGCAGGAGGCACCAGAGCTTTGACTTCGACCCGGGGGTGGCGGGCAGCAAGCTGCCGGGGCCGGAGGGCGTGCGGCTGCAGCCCATGAGCGAGCGCACGCGGAGGAGGAGCGCGTCCCGCGAC